CACAAGTCTGGTTAAAATGTCAATGTTAAAATGCCACGTCAATATCATTATATCGCTTTAGATTAGCCATATTGTATTCAACACAAAATCAAGTTAATGGGTCATTGATTGCTCCTCGTGGCAAAGGAACTTCTAACAAATGACTGCTTTCCCAACTTAATCTGTTTAATTTCCCTCGTGACCTTTTCACCCGCTGCACACGGGGATTGTGTAAACAGCAAACCTCCACACAGAGGGCGAGAGAAAACTACCACCAACTCCCATCAGCTTGTGCGATTGTTTCTCTTCGGCAGTTAAGATGTACTTAACAATAATGTGGAATCACTCAGTGTGTAGTGGGCTCCAGTGAATTCTACAGACAGGTTACAATTATTTATTGATAACACTGGGCTCAAGTACCCTCTATTCCCCGAATCACTATTTTTGGAAAACTGGTTGCTAAATTGCTATTGCACAGCCTAAATAACAAAATAGTGTTTTAGCAGAGATTGCAACTTAACTACAAGTCAGAAATATAACATAACATAACTCTTTTTTTTCATATCACCCTCGGATTGACAGGGAGTCACAGTCAATGCATTCTGGATATACTGTGATCATATGACACATACCTCAATGTGCTTTAAGTTTCTCACAATCGTTACTGCTTTTTAACTCATAACTAAAACAAGCGCCAGGTAATCCTCATGGACGGCCAGGCAACAGAAATGAAAAGTTATCCGACATATTTCATCACCTCAAGCAATTTAATAAGGATCTACAGGCCAGAGATGAAACTGTTTCTGGACACATTTCCAAAAGGGACTGACTCTTCTGTCTGCCGAGTCAAATCAAGGCCTCGCTTCCCTACCTCACACAACTCAGCCCAATCTCCAAGTGACAGAGTCTCGTCGGAAGCACGGAAAACTGTGCTGTGTGAAGGGCCTTTTCACTTTTGATGCTGCTCTGGAGTTTGCAGTGACGGCTAAGCAGCTCCAGCTGCCACGATCTGAAACATTCTGGATCAGTGAGCACAAATACTCGCAGACAAGAGGGTCTGGCGCTGCGTTTAGCACAACTTCCACATGCGAGTGATGGCGTGGCCGTGGTTTACAGCACATCATTCATTAAATGAAACTATAGCAAGGAGAGTAGTAGTTGTGAAGTTGAAGCCATGATATAAGCTCAGAGAAGATGATATCTGACATATCGTGTTTACTTTGAGGTCAAGAAACGGCTGGAGCAAGATAACAGTGGGAGGACATCAGGCCTCTGGCGGCAGGCCTGCAACTCATCCACCTTTATGCAACTGTTAAGAAACTTGAGCATCACGCTAATGCCATCAAATTCACCAATGCCACATGCAGTTTCCCTACAGTCTCTGGCTGGCAGCTCATCATATGGTTTCCTTAGAGCCACTTGTAGAGTACCACTTGTTGAGTTGAGCTGCTGCCAAAGGGTTTGATAAATAGTTTGCAGAGCTGTTAAAACTTTTCAAAAATCTCTACATACAAAAACATTTTGACACACAGCTCCTGCTCAAAGACAATTGGAATGCCAAATGCAACACAGCATGACAGTCCTCACACAACAGGAAACAACACAAGTATATGCTACACGACAGCTTTCTGTCAACACCGTTTAACCCATTAATCCCATCTACTAAACTCTGCATAAACATAATACCAATGTATCAGACTGAGAGGGGGTGAATTCGACTTACCTCACTGCAGGTGTCCTGGAGAGGATCTCTGTCAGAGGCTGAGAGGAAGCCACGTTGTTTCTGGAGGGGATGTTTCGGGGCCTGGATTCGGTTTATCACTCTCCGTCATCATCAGCTGTTTGGAGAAAATCGGGAAAATGGAACTCTTGGGTAAAGCTGATGTGAAGAGAGTTGCAGCCACCACGACTAAGTGTGACACATGAAGAGACAGCAAACAACGCACACTCTAAAACTTATTCCTTTACTTTCTGACAAAATAACGCGTGAAGATGGAGGGTGGGCACTTTGAGCGCCGCTCCTTATCCACGCGCTCGGTGCTGCCTCTGATGGCAGGAGGCTAATTAAAACTGATTTCCGGGGGCGGACTTGCAATACAGCTCCTCACCACTGGTGGCGTAAAGGTGGGTCTAGGTTAGGGGGTCTAACAAAGGCCCCAAAGACATCTCAAGTCAAAGATTCGCTATTGTCTCTGCTCAAGTGAAGCATGAATAATCATGTTTGTAGATGATGATGATGATGATGATGATGATGATGACAACGATGCGCGCATAAAAATGGCGCATAAAAATGGCGTCACTTCGGTATGTTTGACAAATTGGTCGTCGATTTTGAATGTAAACATATTTTGATCGAAGGGAAAATAAGTCTGAACATTATTATCTGGGTTTTACAACAGAGACAAGTTTATCACCTCCTGTTAGAAACAAGTCAGTGGGAATTTTGCTAAAGCACGGAACAAGCATTACTTCCAAATTATGGAGACGTTTCCAAAAACCCGCTGTGCTCTGGTAAAGTTAATTGGTTAATTTGATCTGTCAGTTTGAATTTACTTCTTTTTTAAGACTTGATGTCGAGTTAATTGTCACCTTATCAAACTGTTCTGATGCCTTCTTTTCTTCTTCTTCTTCTTCAGCTTTCACTGCGTGCCTCAGTAAATCTTCAGGTGCCATACCAGTGCATGCTCCATGTAAATCAACTCTTATCTGTATGCAGGAGTGGATTCAGCATCACAGGAGACAGCCTCTCTTTCGTTCAGAGGTGAGTCTGCAGCACCTCCTCAGCGCAGTTCATGCGAGTCCTTAAACATCTCCGCGCTCTCCAGCTGGAGTCAGTCACAGCGCGCGTCTCACCAGCGGCGCATTGTAGCAGCTTTATACAGACCTCAGCAAGAGACGAGTGCATTTTATTCACTTGTCCAACCTTTTTTTTTTTTTTTTTTTTTTCTTTCCTTGTATGCAGATTACATGGTGGGATTATTAAAATTCACATTGCAGAGAGCTTTTCCACTTCGATCCCGTAGAGACAAACTTGAGGAATATTTGAAGGTGAAGAAGATGGATCTCCCATAAATGCTGAAATACTTCAATCCGCACAGAAGTGGCGTCTTTTGTAAATAGTGTGATCAGCAGTTACAGGTAAGACGATACTTTAGTTGGAGTGAATGGTGAACTGTCACAGACGCACATTGGTCAGTACGTGTATTTCATACATTACCAGGTTAATGTGATTATTCCATTTCAATTAATCTGATCAAATGTTCAAAGCTGGGCATGTTCGACATTTGAACTCGCCTCAATATCCTCTGCAGCGTCTCCAGTCTAAAATGATCATGTTCGTGCATGTGTATTGAAGGAAATGTGATGTCATAAAACCCAAACAAAACCCACAGCTGGGTTTTTTTGCAGAGTTTGCTTACAATGTTAATGAGAAGCGTGACCTCAGTCTGACTTTATTTCCAGTAGGCTAAGATGGATTTGCATGACTAACAATGAGCAGGTAATCATTTATGTATTTAGCTGAATATCCATCTTCTACCCTGAAAGCAAAAGTTAGAGCAGAAATCGTGGCCTTGAGTTCCCAGCACAACAGAAAAATACTACAAGAAAAAAACTAAGTGAAAGTAGCTCTGTGGGGTTTATGATAGTGAGACTACCTGTTGCACAGTTTTCACAATGCCTGAACCGCAGCAATTTAACCAATCACAAAATAATATTACATGGTATAAAATAAAATATTATTAATACCAACAGTGATTTGTGATCGCTTCTATTTATGGTTCACCTCAGCAGCTGAAGAGCTTGAAGATCATGTTTTTGGTTTGTTTCTGTGCTCCGTTTCTGTGAGAATTATTAATTATATTCTTGTTCATCTTATGCAAGACAAGCAAAACATGTTTCTCCTGATGTTTTTCCAACTGTGACATTATGCAATATTCTGTCCATCCACCTGACTCAGACAATGCACAATTAGACTGTACAAGCAGGCTCAACCCATTACTAACACGTAGTCGCCTATCCACCAGAAACAAGACCTCAGGCAGTGTCCATCCTGTGCTGCTGCCATGGTGAAAATGATAAACCGTCATAATAAAACCTCTTATGTTATTGGCACCAAACTAAGTTGTCAGACCATGTTTTGCCTCCTGTGTGTTGGCAGTGACAAGCACTTCAATCCGACTGCAGCAAGGCTATTGGCAGTACAGTGATTCCTTTCATTCAATTACTTAGGCTGGGATTAATTTACATCCATGCCCACCCCCTAATAAATTACAAAAAATGTGTCGGCAAAGAATTCAGTGTAACCAGTCACAGCTGATCATTTAGCAGCATGAGAGGGATGAGCAATTCCCCGGGGAGAGCTTCTGACTGTAGGGTGTGTAGAGTGATTTCCCTCGGTAGCAAATAAACACACGGGGAAGGTCAGGCCTCAGGTAGAAATCACTCCTTAGATCCTGGGGTGCCTTCCCTTACACATGCTATCAGTCAGGTGTGTCGACAGGACAGAAGATCAAGATGTAAAATCTATATAAAAATCTCTGAATTCCCCATAGGAGCTGCTTTTCCATATTGATGAGTCGCAAAAGGGCTGAAAAGAAAATTGTTCTGACTCATGATGTCACAGAGATCATTGTTGTGTCTCCTCATCCATGTGCAGCGGGTTATTGCAAAATGCCATGTGATAGCCACTTGTTACATTCAGATCATTCGGTTCAACACACTAGCATCCATTAGCAAGTGGTTTGAATTGAGGACGGAAGAGAGTTCAGAGTCAATATCTGATGAAGATGATGACTATGGATCTGGCTTTTCTTCCTCTGGAGAGCATAAATCAATATCGAAATCAATAATTCAAGAGGTCTGTCTGCTCGACCGTAACTGGCAGGGCTTTTAAAATCATTTATAACAGCGAGGTCATTTGTCATTTTAAAGTATTTTACTCTGTTACTGACGCAGGTCTTCACGTTTACAGGTGCGATGTCATAACCAGTGTGTGAGAGTGAGAGAGAGACTGAGGCATCATGGACTCCTGGATCTTCCCATCATCCCCTCCGAACCTGTCCGACCACCTCATGTATGACAGCTTCATGCAGGTTAATGAGTCTGACCTCAGTGGGAACTACACAGACCACAGCTTCAACAGAATCAGTACGGTGGTCATCACCTGCATGTACTTCCTGGTTTGCACTGTGGGGCTCTGTGGAAACGCCCTCGTCATCTACGTCATCCTGCGCTACGCCAAGATGAAGACAGTCACCAACATCTACATCCTCAACCTGGCAGTGGCTGATGTGCTCTTCATGCTTGGCCTACCATTCATCGCCATCCAGCTGGCGCTGGTCCACTGGCCCTTCGGTCCTGTGCTCTGCAGGGTGGTGATGACGGTGGACTCCCTGAACCAGTTCACTTCCATCTTCTGCCTGATGGTCATGAGCATCGACCGCTACCTGGCTGTGGTGCATCCGATTAAGTCCACGAAGTGGCGCAAGCCTCGCATGGCCAAGACTATCAACTTAGCAGTGTGGGGAGTGTCGCTGATGGTTAACCTGCCCATCGTTATCTACAGCGGCATCATCACGAAGCACGATGGCTGCTTCTGCACCATCGTGTGGCCTGAGCCCCAAGAGGCCTACTACACAGCGTTCATGTTCTACACCTTTATCCTGGGCTTCTTCCTGCCCCTCATGGTCATCTGCCTTTGCTACTTGTTCATCATCATCAAGGTGAAGTCCTCAGGCATCCGCGTGGGCTCGTCCAAGAGGAAGCGCTCAGAGAGGAAGGTGACTCGGATGGTGTCCATCGTGGTGGCGGTGTTTGTATTCTGCTGGCTCCCTTTTTACATCTTCAATGTCACCTCAGTAACGGGCACCATCAGCACCACTCCCATCCTGAGGAGCACTTTTGCTTTTGTGGTGGTACTGGGATACGCCAACAGCTGCGCCAACCCCATCCTCTACGCTTTCCTGTCAGAGAACTTCAAGAAGAGTTTCCAGAACGTTCTCTGTCTTAAGAAGGTGGGGGGGCTGGATGAGGTTGAGCGCAGCGATAGCCGGCATGATAAATCTCGTATGATGAACGACCCAACGGAGACCCAAAGTACTCTGCTGAACGGGGACCTGCAGACCAGCATCTGAGAGGAAGGTGATTGGACTCGCACGCATGCACGTACACACACACACACACACACACACACACACACACACACACACACACACATATGCACACAGCCATCTCTCTCAAACTGGAAACAGTCACGAATTATGAATCTCTCCGAGGTGACATCAGAGGGGAGATTATTAAATGTTAACAAGGAGTTCAGAGAGGAACATGCCACTTATTAAGGAGGGCAAAGCACCAACAGAGATAAAAAATTAAAAAGATGTTGAACTGGACTTTCTCCCTCTGCCTTTGGCACATCATTGGGTCTCCTTGCCTGTACACAAATCCATTATAACATAATCACAAGTTCATACAAATGTTTGCTCTGTGCTGTAAATGAAATGAAAATGAAATCTGTTTGACTGTTTGTCTTCAGTGTATTGACTTTGGAGTAAGGTAGAATGGACACTAACACCCACTTGCAAATGGTCTCCTGGGTGAAATGAATTTTCCCTGGAGACCCAGGATTAGTTTACAGCAGAGGGCCTGTTGCCGAGTCTCAATTGCTTTGTGTTGCGTAAAAATAACAACGTAACAGTGTGCTCATATGCTTTTGTTTATATCTCATCTGCAGGTCATTTTCTCCGGAGAGTGGTGCGACTGTAAATAACTGTGCAGAGAATGGGCAAAGAGACTGTGCACAAAGTCAGAGGATTTTATATTGAGTGTCATTTAGTTTTCAAACTCTTGTAAATAAGTAATGATGTTTTTAGACACAGAGCATAATGAATGTCAGTGCCATTGATTCTTATATTCTGTTTTTTCATTTGTGTGCACAGTTTGATTTGTCATACAGACGTATCAAATGGAAATGTGAATAGCAATGTTCAGTCAGTGGTCGAATATCTAGTTCTGTGTCATTTTTTTCCCCCCTATTTCATTATAGCTATGTGCATAATTCATATTATGTCAATGGCTTGGTCAATATACCAAGCAAGCCTCTAACCAAAGTGCTGCTAAGATGTATAGAAACTCTTCTACAATATTGTATAGTATTACATAAAATAATGTCACTGTATGCCTGTTTCTGCTGGACTAGATTACTGTTAGGAATTACTGTTCTTTAATCATGGTTCATTTACCATTATTTATGTATATCAAGTAATAACGTTTCTGTAAGTGTTTTTATCAAACACACCAGGCTGCAGGATTATAAATTATTCAGTGTAAATGCTGAGCAGTGGCTCAGCTTCATGTTTTTATGTCATCTGAAAGAAATCAACCGCCTCAGATAACTTTTCATGAATGATTGTTTTACTCCCATTTCCTGTTCACCACTCTCCCCGGGGTTCCAGTGTGTGCCAGAGGTCATCCAGTGACAGACGCACAGCTGTGTTTGGGTACAGTTATTAGAAGATCCTAGAATTAGTAAAGCACAGGAAGACAGTATTTAACTTAAGTTGGTTTTAAACTCATTTTCTTTGAAACAAATGTTCAGTTTGGTATTGTTTCGCTGTACTGTATTACAGGACACACTGTGTGGTAAGGGTGTGTTTGACTTTTTGGTTATAGGGTTATAGGCTTAGGGTTGTATTATATGAGGGACTTCCCACAGAGAGCTTCTCATAAACACTTTGCTGACATTGACCCATCCTCCTCTTCTAATCTGTGGCATTTAGGAAGCCACGTTTCGAGGGTGGTGTCTAAGAGACGTGAATTTGTGAAGGGCTAGAACACTTATCCTCAAAAGGCTCTGGTGTTCCTTTATCATCATCATCATCATCATCATCATCATCATTACTGTGCTCCTGAGTCCACTCTTCATCCTGCGGCTCCCTGTGTGTTCCTGTAATCAGATTATTATGTGTGTGAGTTATTAAACCTTTACTCTACATGTGCAGGGTCCCCCTTACACAACAAAGCCAGTGACAGATTATGATTAATGTGCAAAGTGTGTGTGTGTGTGTGTGCGTGCAAGCGTGCAAGCGTTACAGAGAGAGAGAGAGAGATATCCAGGTATTACTCATGTTGTGGGGACCTAAATCTGTTTGCAGTCACATTATGGGGACTTGTGTGTCTGTTTGTTTTACATTCATTTCAACATCCCAGCTTGCCAGTCTCTAGCCAAAGTGTAAGGTAAAATGTGTGTTTGTATACATGTCCAATATAACTTTGATATTAGAATATATATGCATATATATTCAACATACCCGAACCGCTCTTAGCATGTTGGTTTAAATATGTGCATGTAATTTCTTCATGTGTGAGACATGTATGACAGAGAAGTGCACACACACACATTCCCCACAGCCATGATTAACCAAATTCCATATCCAGTTTCTGTCTCTGCAGTACTGTTGAATTTGACCTGTAACATCTTACTACCGAAAGACATGACACATTTAGTGTCTTGTATTTCCATAGCAACAGTGACTTAGAGTGTTGGTCCCATGGTTAAATTCATTAGCATAATAATAATAATAGAGAGAGGACTCTGGACATTAATTATGAATGTAGACATGAAGAAAAAACAAATAATAAAGCCTGCATCAAGACCACGACCCAGCAGTCACATTAAAGCAGTATAAAGTGTATAGTTTGTGTTAGTGTGCAGTAGAAAATGTAAGACAGCGCAAACCAGACATCTTGCTTGATGTGTCATAGTAGCAGATGTTACAAAAAACAGGATGATGTCATTGTTTACTGTTAGTTAATGCAGACTGGACATGCAGAAGTTGTACAGTATCGTCCAGCTGTGTTAGAGATGTTGTAAGTAATTTTAATTCTGGCAAAGACTTCTCGTACAACACTGTTCCTGTTTTAGTTCTCAGCTTTTTTAAATAGCTGGATATGGAAGATTTTCTACTTGGTATTGGTGCAGTGTGGTTTTTATTATGAGCTTCTGTTAAAAGGCAAAATTTTACAACGATTGTTAAAACTTTTACCGTTTCTGTGCATTATGCATGTTCTTCCAGTTTCTGTTCTGTTACATAACACTGAAACACCAAGTTTGATGGAGCAAAGATCTTGTGTAGTTGTCTTGAAACTAAATAAAGAATAAGAAGCATACAGTCAATTTTCTTTTTGGTGGAATATTGTGGAATGTCCCTCTGAAACAAATGTATAATAAAAAGTTGCAAATAAAAGTCAATTAAATTTATTTTTTTAAATTCTTTTAATTAATTGTAAGATATGTTTACATTAAAGTTTGGATTTTCCACATCACAATTATTTCCAAAATAATTACAACTGATAACAAATCCTAAATGTACAAGTTTAAGCTTGTCACATGTAAACTCTTGGGTAATATTAATTATGTCCAATTACTGTAGAAATGTTCTGCATGTTATACCAATCGTACGAAAACATGTTATTATGTGAGGCTGTTTGGTTGAAGGAATATAAATTCCCTTTCTTCACATTCTTTTCAGTCTGAAATGACACAATTGTCAGTGCAGGCTTGATATTTTTTCAGACTGTCTTGTGCTTTATGGTTTGACCACAGAGAGGCGCCATAGTCAAATACATAACTACATCTCCAGGGCCAGAAATACAACACTGAGTTTCACTGTGTTCTGCCTGTCAGCTCCTGATAAACAGAGGTTATATTCCCTTTACTGTGCTCTCTTGTTCCACCATGACAATACCTTGGCAGCAGTAATAGAGGAACTGCACAACAGACATCTCTAAACACCACTCATGGAGCTGGTGTGGCTGATACACTACAGAACTTCACGTTCGGGAAATACACTGTCCCAAAGAAGGGAAGCGTAAATGGAAGAATGAGACTTAAAAAAAAAACAGCACATACACATTCCAGTTTTGTTCTGAGTTTAATCACTGAAACGGATAATGAAGCTCTCCTCTTCCTTTTCGTTTCAGCTGCGTCCCTGAATGTCCTTGGGTGGCCTTAACTGCTCCATGATACATCACAACCATAGTGCGACCATTTCTCACAAGTCTTTGATTTTACTGTTCAGAAACCCACTGTTGTCCTCTAGCTGAGGTTCTGCAGCAGACCAAAGGATATGCATGTTTGTTTTCAATTACAGAGCAGCTAAACAACCAGGGGTTGTGGTTTTTTTTATTTTTTTTTTAATGTGGCATTACTTTGTGAAAGGTTAGGGCCCTCATCTTATACATGAGTGAATATTTTTTATTCTGTATTTTTTACTTAATACATACACAATCAGTGATATTCAAACAAAACATACCACAACACCCTGATGTGTATGTGCATTATCTAAAGTCTGACTTGACAGCATACTGATTGAATAGAGCACTGGGTTTACTGCACTGCAGAGGCAAGACACACCACGAACCACACCGGTCTACACCAGCCACACAGTTGCCATGGAGAAGATTTACACTGATGGATTCAGAGCCAGGCTGTGGCCGCACAGTGCCCATATGCGTGCAATGTGTTTTACCCTCTATGTATCTCAAATGATCGCCTTCCCATCCCCAAAATACAGAACAAAAGTCTTGATGGGCAGCAGGCCTTGAGGCATTACTGAGGGCAATTCTTCACATTTTATAAGATCATGAGCCCAGTCGCATGCAGTGTTGTTAAATGGGCTTTTTTTTTTTTTTTGCACAGAGCATTCAAGGTGTTTAATGAGGAGAGACCACAGCATTCTCACATGATGGAGGACCTCATCTGGAGTTCATGTGTTGTATGTATGTCTTCTCTTCAGAATGCCATACCAAACCCAAAGCTCACATTCAACATACAATTCATAAACAGCAAAGGTGAGCCAATTTAATCACCACCATCATTATACCAACAATTCCACAAGAATGAAAGTATAATACGTCCAAAAAACATTTCCAGTACCAGGACAGCGAGGGACATATGACTGTACTGAAAATTAAAAAAAAAAAAGACACTGAAAAGAACAGTAAACAAAAACTCAAAATTCAATGAGTTGCTAAAAAAAAATAGATATTCCCTGCCCTCAACCAGACTTAAAAATAAAACAATCAACACAGTAAATAATGGAACATGAGCACACTCAGGTCCAAATCTGTTTAGTTTCCATGGCAGCGCTTCCCCAGCAACTGGCAAAGGCAGCGTCTCTAAGCTCTCCCATGTTTTCTTTGCTCTTAAAAATAGATGTATACTAGATTCATACAGTATTTCATAACTAAATTCACAAATGATAAGAATCATAACCATACCTTTAAAAATGTTCTTGCAAAGTTCATAATACGTTGATTTTATTTTGTATTTTTTGTTTTTTTTTTTTGTGTTTTTTTTGCGTTCAGTCCCAAGTGCATATGACAACAACATGTCTTCCACCATGACTAAGTTAAATGCTTGGTCAGTTGAAACGAGAGCACCATGGGAGAGAAAATGGAGGGGGGGGATGTGAGGGGGTGGGTTGGGTATAGGGGTTCAGAATACTGTAAGAAAAATCCAGATGTGCCCAATCAACATGACAGTCAGTCTCGCTCAGACTCTGCCCCTGCAGCAGGAAGGGAAAGGAGGGAGAGAGAGTGAGGGGTGTGGGGCCTCTTCCCTCTGCCTAAGCCTGGAACTGACGACGCCCGACTCTTCCTCCTTCTCTCCTCTTCATTCAGTTTTGTCAAGTAGATGCCAAGAAGTAGCTCAGTGCTTGTTTTTTTTTTTTTTTTTTTTTTTTTTTTTTTTCTTTTGAAAGGTTGCATGATTTCACACGTCTT